TGGGAGAAGAGGCCAAACCTCTCCTCATCACAACCTCCATTAAGGAAGTTGTAGAGTGCAGTGAGGTCCAATGAGGTCTCCCCTGAGGCTTCTCTTCTCCAGACTGAACAATCCCAGCTCCTCAGCCGCTCTTCATAGGATTTGTGCTCCAGACCCCTCACCAGTTTTATTGCCCTTCTCTGGACATGCTCCATGGCCTTAATGTCTTTTTTGTAGTGAGGGGCCCAAAACTGAACACAGTACTCAAGGTGTGGCCTCACCAGTGCTGAGTACAGGGGGATGATCACCTCCCTGCTCCTGCTAGCCACACTATTTCTAATGCAGGCAATTAAAAAAAATATAAATACAAATATAAAAAAAAAAGAAACAACGGTTCAAATGTTGGTCTGACCAATTTGTTACAAATCTTAACCAGGGAGATGGGGAAGGGGAGGAGGGCGATAGAAAAGGTAGGAAAGAAGAAGCAAGGAGTCTTTGTAGGAAGCAAGAGGGAGACAGTCACCACCATGGATCCAGCGTGGTTCAGAGTTCAGCCATTCATCTTCAGTCATGGTGGGTTTTGGGCGTCGTTGTTCTGCTGATGACGACAGTGACCATGGCAATGTTGGCCCCTTTTCAATGGTAGTACCAACTCTTTTATAAGTCCAAAGTGGTTGAGTCAGCTCTCCTTGTAGTGGCAGCTTCTGACTCTGGGATCTCAGCAGAAACTCCTTTGTTCCCATCTTCCAGGCCTTGCCAGCAGATAAGAGGGAGCAGGGATGCCCACTGCATCCTGTTTTCCACAGGACACGATGGTATCATTTCCCATATTTCCCATACCAAGCTAGAGCTATTTAGTCATAGGCCAGATCTTCTTAGGGTCTCATTTGTCAATTTGAGTCCTGACACTTTGTGGGCCAGTGATGGTCGAGCTGCCCCAGTATCAACTAAAAACACAACCTCTTCCCTCTCAGGTCCCACTCTCATGTTTACAAAGGGCTCCTGGTGGGACCAAATTTTTGAAAGCCCCAGATCCCCCTATTCTGAATTCAAAGCTGCTAGTAACTTTTTCTCCCTCTTCCACTCAGGGCAGTTTCTTCTTATGTGTCCTGGCTTACTGCATTTAAAACATTTCCCAGCACTCTGCTCCAACTGGGGCCTCACTCAATATCCTTGGCATCCTTCCTCTCTTTGCTTCCCTCCAGGGCCCAATCTCCCTTCCATGTTCTTTTCTCCATTACCCGTTCATTTTTTTCACCACATGTTCCACTGTGGAAACCATTAACTTTGCCTTTTATTTTTCTTTCTCATCTCCCCTTCTAACATACACTTTCTGAGCCTCTCGTAAGAGCTCCTCCAGGGACTTCTCACTCCATCCTTCTATCTTCTGAAGCCTCTTTTGCACATCTGGCCACGCCTTAGTTACAGAATTAACTTTTAGGAGCTGTTGGGCTGCAGGATCCTCAGGATTCGTCCCTGAGTATTTTCTCATTCTGTCTCTAAGTCTTTCAAGAAATTCACTAGGGGATTCTTCCCTATTCTGCTGAACCTCAAATGCCATGGTAAAATTCTGGGACTTGGGTACTGCCTCTCTAATCCCGGTGATTATTATGTCCCGTAAGTCTTTCATATTTTGCCGATGTTGTGGATTATTACTGTCCCAGTTAGGGTCTTCCACTGAGTATTTTTGCTCTGCCTGTACCACCTCAGGACACCCAGCAGGGTTATTCCTTTCCCACTCTTGCATAGCTGCCCGCCTAATCATACCTCTTTCCTCTCCAGTAAACAATATGTCCATAATAGACATCATTTCCATCCATGAGTAGAAATTTGGCCCCAGAAATTGATCTAATTGCTCTGCTACTCCTATAGGATCCTCAGTTAAGGATTTCATTTCCTTCTTAAAATTCCTTACTTCTCAGCTAGTGAGTGGGGAATTTACATAGCCTATTTCCCCTTGTCCCAGTGGAACCTCCCATAAAGGATACATGGGGGCATTGGTATGGTTAGTTTTAGGGAAGGGAAAGTTTTCAATATCCGTTTTACATCGTTCTAACTCTTTCCTGAGCCCAGCATACCTCCCCTCCTGTGAAATGACCCCATGTGCTTCCCCATTTTCTCTTTCTGGGTCTACAGCCATTGCCCTTGGGGCTACATTGGGGTTATATGGGGGAGGTAGATTCTTTAGTGTCCCATTGATTAGTTCTCTTTTCTAGTTCCTCACCTTCCTGTTCCAGACATTTCCTTACTAGTAACAGACTGGCTTCTTGAATCCAACAAGCAGTGTAGTCTGATTCCTCCTTTGAAAAGGGGGTTTTATTCTTTACATATGAATTCAGAATCTGACACACCCAATCTTCATCAGATCCATATTCTGTCCAGAATATTGATTTACCATGTATACCCTGTTTTCTCCCCCTTGCCTCCCCTATTTCCCACTGGCTGGGTACTCCAGGTTCACAATCTTATCAGAAGGCAATTACATTTGTTAATTACTTGTTAATTTACTTGTTATTTGGTGTCAGTCCTGTCATCTCCAAGATGTCTGAACACTCTCCTTGTTCATATTGATAAGGTGATTTTCTTCAGAGTCTTTGTTAAACAAAGAGTACGGAGGGGAGGTGCCTGATCTTCCTCCACACCTTCTTCAGGCACCCCCTGAGGCATGTAACGAATTGTCCCTTTTAAATTGTGCAGAACACTGTTGCAATGTTGTCTTGCTCCAGTTTATAGGAAGGAGATGAGGTTCTTTTAATATCTGTATATCCGGCATGAGATTAAGAAACAACGGTTGATATGTTGGTCCAACCAGTTTATTATAAATCCTAATCAGGGAAGGGAAGGAGGGCGATAGAAAAGATAGGAAAGAAGCAAGAACTGCATAAAGTGGGGATAGTCACCACCAGGATCCAGCAGCGGTCCCGTTGCACGACGTTCCGAAGGTCCACGGCAGAAGCAGCAGGGAGGGGAGCAGCAGCGTGGCCGGCTTTGGGAAGCAAGCAGGTAGCAGGAGACAGTCGCAGAGCCAATCCGGGAGCAAGCAGCAGCGCTCAGGTAGCAGGCCCAGGAGAGTCTGTCAGCATGCGGGAATTCCGTAGTGAGGAATCTGATGTCAGACACCCGTCCTCATGGTTTTCGATTCCTCTTTTATCCTACTTGTTCTCCTGCCTATGTGACATCCCTGGGCGCTTGAGCGAGAGTCAAGTGAGTAACCCCTGAGATGGCCATCTTCCTCCAGATAAGCCCACACAAAGGAGCACTTCACAGCCATTTAGCTGCAGCTCATCTCTCTCTCCTTGCCCCGGCCTTGTCCATCTGTGTCCCCCAGACAAAGGATTTCACAACCCTTGCCCAGGATTTGTGCATCAAAGTTCTCCAGAAAAAGGATTTCACAACCTTTGCCGAGGACTTGCCTGGACTGGTTCATCTGTGTCCCCAGCAAGCTTTGAGAAAATGATGTTTTACAGAATAATATCTTACAAATGTGTGTGACATATATTCTCAATGCTGGCTATACATAAGTTGTTACTAGCTTATATGTATATATATACATACATATTACTTTACTTACATACCAAGTATGTGTTGTTGGGGAAGATTTATCTAGAGCATTAGCAATGAAAACTTATCAGAGAACCCCAATAAAGTAGAAAGGCCCCTGAAAAGAACTATTAGTTCTAATAAAGGACCCAAACGGTAGAGAGGCCAGAAAATTAACAAAATTCTTATTTTGTTCTGATGCAGAAACAACATTCAATTCCCACACTGCTGTGAAATGAAAAGGAAGAATTTTTTCTGACACTCAGTGCTGTTGTCTTCTGTAGCCCTTAGGCACTCAAGACTGGTGAAATAGCTAATCTCTTTACAGAAAGTCTTTAAGGTTATAACTTGATTATCTTGAAGCAGTGTGAGGGAGGAGGCTTTTGACTGTTACCATAGGCTGAGACAAATAATTTCCTGGTGCTGAAGTTCAGATTTCTGTTTACAGTTAATGTATGATTTTAGAAATTTCTTGAATTCAGGGTCAGTATCAGGAGGGGAAACCTTCTTATTTTCAGAACAACATGTTGAAAGTTGAGACTACTATTCTTGTGATGATGCTGGCTGAATCATCAGATGGTAGATGAAGAGCTGTTCTCTTTTCACAGCTCTTGAAATCTGGTGCAGACCATGTTTGTTCAGTCATGGTCAATCATGTCTTAATATCGTGAAACGAGACTGATCTACTCACTTGGGAGTCCCAATCATATATTTGGAGCTGGCTTCATTTCTTGTTTAAAAATAACTCATAAACACACGTCTTGTTTATTCTGTTTTGTTTCTCTACTGGTACTTTTATTGACTACAATTTGTGTTTATCACTTAGAATTGCTTACATGAGACCACAGAGTAGTAGCCTACAAGCTGCAAAGCTTTTTTTCTTCCAAAGTTGAATAGTATATACTGCAAAATGCTGCACAGATTTAAGACCAGAAAGAATAGTAGAGCTGCTCCTCCAGTTAACAGCAATGCACTTTTGTGAAAAGAAATTGCAATCTCTGCAAGTGCTAGGCATACCTTGGAATTATATGTAATATCAAACATCTTTTAAACAATGGTGACACAGGGAAGCTTGTAAATGTTCTGCAAGGATACCTGTTCCTTTCAAGGCAGTGTTCTAAATACTGCTTCTTTAATCTAGAGCTTTATGAGAGGTTTAGATGAAGGTTGCTGTCAACAGTTTAGGGGCTGGTTCAGCCCGGTTCCGTGACTAGCAGGACAGAGGGGTTTCACAAATCCACCCCTCTGGAAAAGGGAAACAGGGACCCCAAAATAATTAAAAACAGCTGCAATGATCTGAGGAGAAACTGATTTACTGATATATGCATTATGGTATATAATAATGGTATTGAAATACAAGATAACACAGTATAATATAATATAATTAGAATTAAAGCTAATATATCAAATATAATGAGAGAGAGTGTCCAAAAGGTGGATAGGCCTCACCGTAACACTGAGGTGAGATGCACAGTCCGGTTGAGCAGCAGGAGGAGAGCCTGGCAAAGAAGAGAGAGGTCAGATGACCTACCAAGGCCTTATATCTGCTCCCCTTGAGCTGAAATGATAGCAACACAGAGAAGAGGAGGCTCGGGGTGACCTTATTGCTCTCTACAACCGCCTGAAGGGAGATTGTGCTGAGGTGGGTGTTGGTCTCTTCTCGTTAACTGGCGACAGGACTAGTGGGAATGGCCACAAGCTGTGCCAGGGGAGGAAAAATTTATTCTCTGAAAGAGTGGCCAGGCACTGGAATGGGCTGCCCAGGGAGGCAGTTGAGTCACTGTTCCTTGTTGGAAATGTCCAAATAACTTTTGTCGGGATGGTATCTCTGATAAAGCAGATTTTATTTGCTATTGCAATGGCGGGCAACCTATGGACACAACATGACAGCCTTTATACTCTGTTTTTTCCCCCTTGCCTCCCCTATTTCCCACTGGCTGGGTACTCCAGGTTCACAATCTTATCAGAAGGCAGTTACATTTGTTAATTACTTGTTAATTTGTTTGTTATTTGGTGTCAGTCCTGTCATCTCCAAGATGTCTCAACACTCTTCTTGTTCATTATTGATAAGGTGATTTTCTTCAGAGTCTTTGTTAAACAAAGAGTACGGAGGGGAGGTGCCTGATCTTCCTCCACACCTTCTTCAGGCACTCCCTGAGGCATGTAACGAATTGTCCTTTTTATTTTCACAGGACACTCTTGCAATGTGTGTGACATATATTTTCAATGCTGGCTATACATAAGTTGTTACTATCTTATATATATATATCCTTTAATTCTCTATTCTTATAATTTACTCCATCTACCTAATCTCTACATATATATATATACACACACACAAATTACTTTACTTATACACTGAGTATGTGTTGTTGGGGAAGATTTATCTAGGGGATTAGCAATGAAAACTTATCAGAGAACCCCAGTAAAGTAGAAAGGCCCCTGAAAAGAACTATTAGTTCTAATAAAGGACCCAAACGGTAGAGAGGCCAGAAAATTAACAAAATTCTTATTTTGTTCTGATGCAGAAACAACATTCAATTCCCACACCCTGGAGATGTTCAAGGAACGTGTAGATGTTGTACTAAGAACATGGTTTAGTGAGCAGTATTGTTAGTGAGTGCACTGTTGGACTGGATAACCCTGGAAGCCTTTTCCAACTATAATAATTCTATAATTCTATGATCATTGTTAATGTTGATTTCCTTCCATTCTGCACAACTCTATGTTTGAGAGAAAAAAAAAAGTTCTCATGCCCTGAAGCCAAAACGAACAAGCCCATAAACGTAAAGTCCAATGAGTGATTTATACACAACATTAATGTATTTAGTACCTCTCCTAGAGTCTACCTGAGACTGTGACTTAGCTTTGTACTTGATGCATTTCTTGCTAATCAGAAGCAAGAGGAAGAATGTTGCCCCGGATACTGTGCCACCATCTCTTTCCAAGGGAGTTAGTGAGATCTGCATCCTAGTGAATGAAGAAGTTTGTAAAGTGGCCTTGTTTAGCACTGACGCTGCTTAGTTATTGAATGTATTCTGTGGCTTCTGACCTCAGTAAGGTGAACTAGCTCTTCCAGTTAGCTCGTCTGCCTTTCTGTGGAAGTGTAGTGAAAACTCATCAGTGTTTGAGTGAATCAGCTGTGTGTTATGCAAAAGAATGAGGTTGAACTCACTGGCTTGAGTTATCATGTATTCCACAAAATGTGCTACGAGTATTTCATCTGGGGTGGTGAATTCAGAGGAAATGGCAGGCTTCCAGCTTGAGCACTTGTTCCCCAAAACTGGGAATATATTTCTGAAAGATGTTGTACCAGGAGAGCTATTTTTCCTCATATGGCTTTTATTGAGTCACATAATGCAGCTGTGTTTGGGAAATCCTACAACATCTTTATCTGTAACATGCTCCTATCTCATTCTGTATATCCCTGAATTTAGTCCCCTGTCAGCCCCAGTTTCTCAATCTCAAGTTATTTGTACCAAGAATAAACCTTGAGGCTAGATATGAAGTGCATGTTTGCAGTGTGTTGCATCACTTGTTATCTGTGAGGAGGTCAGTTTTCAAGAAAAGTGTAAATGGTACAACATATTGAATTACTTCCATGATTTTCTGAATGCAACCATATGTTCTGTAGGAAAGGTAATGGAATTAAATAGTTCATGGTACTTACCTGAGCCTAGGATTATTTTTTTTCCCCTTCTGTCTCTGGCCACGCAGCTTCCTGATCAAGCAGAAGGAACTAAAGTCACTGCACAGAAAACAAAATCTGCCTATTTAGAAGGCTATTGAGATCCTAGAATCCTAGAATCACAGAACAGTTTGGGTTGGAAGGAACCTTAAAGTTCACCCAATTCCAACCCACCGGCTGCAGGCAGGGCTGCCACCCACCATTTCAGGCTGCCCAAGGCTCCATCCAACCTGGATGGGGCATCCACAGTTCTTTGGGCAGCCTGTGCCTCATCGCACTTTGAATGAATTCCTTCCTAACATCTAAAATAAATTTCCCCTCTTTTAGTTTAAAGCCATTCCCCTTGTCCTGTCACTGTCTGCCTGTGCAAATAGTTGGTCTCCCTTCTGGCTGTTAGTTTCCTTCAGGTACCGGAAGGCTGCAAAGAGGTCTCCCCTAGAGCCTTCTCTTCTCCAGTCTGAATAAGCCCAGGTCCCTCAGACTTTCTTCATAGGAGAGATGATGCAGCCATCTGATGATCTTTGCGTCCCTTCTCAGGAGTCAATCCAGCAGCTGCACATCTCTGTTATGCAGGGGGCCCCAGGCCTGGAGGCATTACTCCAGATGGGGCCTCACAATGGCAAAGTAGAGGGTGACAGTCACCTACTTCTCCCTGCTGGCCGCTTTTGTGCAGCTCAGGATGCAGTTGGCCTTCTGGACTGCCAGCACACACTGCAGAGTCATGTCCAGCTTTTCATCCTCCAGTATCCCCATGCCCTTCTCTGCAGAGCTGTTCCCAATGAGTTCTTCTCCCAGTCTTTACATGCCTGAGGTTGCCTTGACTCAAGTGCAACAACTCACATTTGGCCTTGGTGAACATTGTTAGGTGTTCATGTGCCCACTCCTCGAGCCTGTCTAGCTCCCTCTGGATGTCATCTGTCTTGTCCCACACAGTAGGTTTCGAGGGAGGTGAATCCTTTTCTGTCTCCTGAGTCACACGTCTTCTAGCCAGCAGGGGTCTGCAAGTCATCCTAGACTCAGAGGAATAACACACATCAATTTATTGAAATCTTTTTTAACAACAACTAATGCTCTCAGAGGTAACATTGGCTAATTTGCTAATTATGATTAATAGGAGTTACAGGTAAGAAATTATTAGGCAATGGCTACTGCACAGAGTGAAAGAGTAAAAGAAGATAAAGAGAAAAGATTTTAAAAAATGAGGAAAGAGACAGACAGACAGATACACAGAGCAAAGTGGTTCACTACTCCTTGATCCAACTATGTCTCGGTGTCAGGTGCTGATCTCCACTAGTGATGGGTCATCCACAGATTGTGTTGGTCAGCTGATGACTAATGACGACATTACAAACTCTTACTTATAGTCCAAAGAGCCGAGGCTGCTCTTCTGCAGTGATGGCTCCTGGCTTCAGGATCTCAGCAGAAACTCCCCTGTTACTGTCTTCTAGGCCTTGCAAATTTAAGTCAGCAGGTAGAGGAAGAAAGGAAAAGCCAGCTTCTATTTTTCCTTCATGAGATACAGTAGTATCATCTCCAAATCTCTTGTATCAGCTGGTTTCATTTGCTCTCAGGACAAATCTTCAGCCAATAAACACTCCTGGGCCTTCCCCTTCAAAGGCAAACAAGTCCAAAGAAATGCTTTCAAATGTAGAACTGTCCACAAAGTGATGCTGATTGCCAAATGCTGATTTGAGACATTCCTTACCTGTCTCAGACAACATCCCTTCCTTCTATTGTGACAACTGCACCACTCCGCTTGGTGTCATCAGCAGGCTTGCTGAGTGAACTCAATCCCATCATGATACAATTTCAATGGGACTTGTGCTAAGGAAGTTTCTGAATGTTTTCTGCTGATCTTGGATGGTGTTGGGAAACACTAGGTGTGACTTTGATCAACTTCCTGAGTGCATGGGATAGTCACCTGCATGTGGGTGGAGAGGCAAGAGCTTCTGGTTTCAGCCCAAACCAACTATCTTAAATTATGGGGGATGGAGACACTCATTTACTCTTTTTTTATTGATGTGGAAACATTATACACATAAAATCTGAAAGTGTTCTTTACATATAGTATGGGTGTAATTGCAGCTTTACATGGCTTTTGCCTCTATTTTCCCCATTTCTCTCCCCCTCTTGTTCAGTAATGGTAAGCTCCATATGTTAAACGTCATATGATTCAATGACACATGTGTATGTATTTATAGGAGGTGCCTAGTTACTCTTCTCAGACTTCACTGGACATCCCTTCTCAGAACCATTGTACATCTCAAAGAAGTTTCCTGCCACCATGATGACTGGAGGCTTGTCTGACCCTAAGCCTGCTACTCCAGAGGTCCAGCATATTGCTGACCAGGTGAGTTGAACCCTGCCTGAATTCCGTGATGAATTCTGTGTAAAGGGCTGAATCTTGAATCTTGTGCGAAGCTAGAAAGACCAAGTGGTGATACTGAGTGTTTAAACTGAAGAAGCTGAAAATGGGGATCTCTGTGATTGCCAGTGCGTATTTTCTCAGCATTTTGGAGAGGCACTGTGCCAACAAGATGAAGCCAAATCACTTTTCTTTCTTTGTCTGTGGATAGGCATAGTGGTGGCTACCTTTAGTTACTTCTTGCATATAGGTAGAAGGTCAATCTACCATGTCAGCACTGAGGTATTTGAAGGGAGAAAATTCCTCACATCATTGATAACTTGCAGATCCCGTTATGCTCTGTGGTGTAGCAACTCTTAAAGTGCTATCAGGTGCATCCCAAGGAGCTGGAGAGGGACAAAAAGGTACAACAAAGCTCCTTTCATGACACCTGCCAGGTGATTCCAGCAGTCGCCTTCACCCTCACAGTTCTGAGGGATGAGTTCTTCCCTCTGCAAGCTGCCCACAGTGTAACTTAAGCCCTCCTTGAGGAAATGCATGTAAGAAGCAGAGGGGCTGAAGACGCTGGCTGACAGTGCTGCACACTGCTGCATGTGCAGGGCTCCAGCTCCCTTTTTTGAGGTGCCTCAGGGGATGGTATTTGTACCAGCACTGCTCTGTGTTTCCTGCAAGCTTGCAGGCTGTGAGCAAGCAATGAAGGAGCCAGAGTAGGAGAGCTGGGCTGTGTATGGGACAAGGCATAGCCAGCAGGAGATCCTGCCAATAGGCTGTGTAGGCTGGACATATAAGTGGGGAAGGGTTGGAGTATGAAGGAAGGAGATGGTGGGTAATGCAGACAGGCTGGTCAGTGGGGAGGTCATTTACTACAAAACAGAAAGGGGAAAGGTTGTCTAAAATTCTTTGGGAATGTGAATTGAATTGTTTAGGAGCTGTATCACTGTTCCTTCTATGTAGAACACTGTAACAACTGTAGAGAATAATACAAATAATATGGTGCTCTGCTACTCTCAGTACCTTTGGGAAAATGAAAATGAATTATTCTTCACCATTTATTTTCTACAAGGTGAATGTCTGCCTTGTGCTGAGAGCGGGAAAGAGAAGTCTCTGTGGTCCTCCCAGTGGCCCTGATCCTCCCCCTGCAACCCTTTCACTGGCTCTGTTCCTTTGCAGAACCTCACACACTGCTGCAGAGCCCCTCATAGGAAAAATACTGAGAAGGCATGAGTTGTGTTTGGGCAGCCCTGCTGTGCTCCCAGCTGGATAAACGTCACCCTTTAATAATGTCATTCTGTATGGTTTTATGCTCTGCTAAGAGTGGGAGCAATTGGTGTGATTTGAATGCAGTTATGAAAAGTGTCTACAAACTGTGGTATGTTCAGGACCTGTCAGCTCTTGGGATTATGTGGTTATGTACTTGCACCTTTGCCTTCTCTGTAGCCTAATCCTTAGCAAGCTGGGGGATGTTGTTTGTTCAGTCTCGTTTTATAGCTGTTGCCTAAAACTGAGGCAAACTGAGGAATGTTTGGGGTTTAAGCAGTTGTTAGATAAGGGCTTAGAAGCAGCTTTTTTTCCATTTGAGGATTAAGAAGCTGCCTGTCTGCGTGCCTGGTTTTACGGAAGGCTGTGACAAATGAGGAAATAGTGGTCAGAGTTTGTGAGACATCCTAAGTCTGGAGAGGAGCAACACTGATGTTTTTTTCTACAGAGGCAGGAACCAAGGGTACCAAAAACACCACAGTTAACTTCTGCCCCTAGCAGCCCCCAAACCCACCTGGCTGGAACGCGACTGGAAATTTTCCTGTTTTCTGGAGTCAGCAGCTCCTGAGCTGGAAGTATAACTGTCTGCTGTCTGGGACAGAAGCCACATGGAGAAGCCTCATTAGTGTGCAAGAGGAGCAGATGGCTCTGAGCAGTTACTTGAATTAGAGTAAGAGGTTATGAGAAACCTGCATATGATTAATGGAAGTTATTGGAAGAAATGTTCAGACATGGTTTAGTGAGAAATATTGGTGATAGGTGGGTATCTGGACTAGAAGATCTTGGAGGTCTTTTCCAACCTTGGTTGGAATGGAACTTGATTATTCCAAAGCTACATTATCTGCAGCTGCTGTGTAGCAAATGGCTCATGATGTTTACACAGGTCTGGCATTGACCTGTGGCAGGATACAGTTTATCTGGACAGCTTGTAGGGAAAAAAATCTATGAGGAAGACTAATTGTAGATGAGATGTTAAAGAGTGCTGGAGGTAATATTTAAAGTAGGAAAAAGAGCTCAAGACTTGGATGTACACTGAGTTATTTTGGTGGTTCAGAGTTTATTTCATTACGGGTGTATGCTTGGAAAGCTGAAAATTTGGAGTGGTTGTCAGGAAGGAAAAGCTAAAATATGAACCTACCAACCATTCTTTCCCTTTCTTTTTACAGGTGAAGCCACAATTAGAAAGCAGGGAGAATGAGATCTATAACATCTTTACAGCCATAATATACCGGACTCAAGTGGTTGCTGGAATCAACTATTTCATTAAGGTTTGTCCATATGATAAGAGGGACTACTGTAGTTAAGCAGTGTAGGTGACTTGCTTCCATTTCTTGCCACCATGCAAATATAGAAATTCCTCTTATGTGACTAATGGAGTTAGGAGTATCTCCATATGTTTATAAAATTCTTCTGTCACCACCATACAACAGGAATATAAAAACTTAAAAAGCATGCACAGCTTCTTCAGATGTGAACGATAACTTCTTGCAGGATCATCTCAGAGACTATGGATTGCTTTATCAGCTCAAATTATCTCTACCAGCCAGAACTCTTCTCCTTTTCTTTTCAAGGCAATACAGGGGCTTTCCTATTGCCTTTCCGTTCCCTGGTAGTGATTATTTCAATTAATTCCAGGTCAGCCAGAGGATCTGATGGAGAAATATTATTTTAATGTAATGCAAGCATCCCAGATTCTGCTGACAAGGGCTGCATGCAGGCATGTGTCCATGCTTTAGTTCTGTGTCATCTATTGCAGAGGAACAGCCTGCATGCTAGTTCTTGCTTTATTTAAAAACAAAAACAGTAACAAAAGACAATAAAACAACAAAAAAAATTCAACAACCAAATCAACAAAAAAGCAAACACTTTCATTTGTGAAAGAACGCTTCACTTGGAGTCCTCTGATAGTGTGATTCATTCTCTTCTGGAAAAGCTTACCCATGGATTTGAGCAGCTTTTTCAGAAGTAGCATGTAAGAAGTTAAAGAGCGTAGTTTGCAACCAGAATGGAAGGCAGGAAAACATTGCTAAGAGGAGGCTGGCTTTCTGTAAGTAGAGCAAACACTGCATCTGTGTGTGGCTGTGTGTCAGCCACTTGACGTGCTCCCTTGACGTGAAGAGAATTGGCAGTTGGGGTTTGGGGGGCAGTGCTTCTGCAGAGACGCAAGCATTTGCTCTCATGTTATTTGATCCGTGGAAGGACAGACACTGCCAAACTCTCCTTAAAATATCTTCTCACAGTTAGTTCTACATTCTCTGGGCACTGGGGAATTGTCATATTATATGGCTAATCTGAGCTCTGCTTAAATGAATGTTTATCCTTGTCTTGCTCCTGTGAGATGAGCCTTCATTTTTTGGGCAAAGTGCTGATGAAGAGTAACAATTCACAGAAAGCTGTGGTAAAGCTAGAAGTCATGTGTGGTTGCATTTCTTCCCTCAGCGCTGTCTTATTGCTGACTTAGGCAATCACATTTAAGTACTTGCCTTGGTTCCATGCTAAGCCTCATGACCAAGCTGCTCTTAGTATTG